TGAGTAGGTATGAGTTCTCTTTTCAGACATACTCAGATTCACAACACACAAATTGGAATAGCGCCCATTGCAACCGACCAGCTTCTTTTATGATACTCATATTCGTTAAGCGCCGATAGTGAAATGAGGATTATTTTTATAGCTACGTCTTTGTTGATTTTTCTTATTTAAATATGTGCCGATATTGATATCACCTCTAACTGATTTCTCTTTGTCTTGTGCATGTTATCTCTGTTGTTGTTTCCATTCAGCATCTCTCTTTTCATTGTTCAATCGTTGTTCCTTGTGTTTGCTTCTTTTTGTTGCTCTCGCCCATATAAGGGTGTATGCAATGTGAAATAGATACATTCTGGAGAGGTGAAGTTGCTGAATAAGCATCATTGCCAAGGGTGGTGGAAAGCTACTTAATCCAGTTTGTCGTTACAAAATAATTCTTCACCAGTGTTGCCTATTGACTGCAATCAAAACTTTATTGATGGATAGTACAAATTTCATAAAGTCTCAAGGGAAATATCATCTGAAAGAATGGTTATTTACTAATCAATTCTGCGATTTTAGTCAACATGGTTCTTATGCGAACATCTACATAAATTGTAGTTGTATCAAGTCGATTCATAACAAAGGCAAAGGAAAGATTTTTCGATGGTACAGCAAAACCAATACTACCACCAGCTCCTAAAAGAAATCAAGCTTAATTTATAGAGTAAACAGATTTAAATATGCTAAATACCTGTATGACCAAAAGTTCCTGGTCCGAATTCTGGGAAAATATCATCGAAAAGTGTAAAGCCCATACCAAATGTTGTAGGTGTTTGAAATACAACATCGATCTCATTTTTGGGTGTGTTCGATCTCGTTACTAATTTCAAAATATTTTCATTCAAAATTCGCTTATATTTGCCATCATCTAAATCACCTATCAATGATGAATAGAATCTTGCTAATGATCGAGCATTGGTAATACCATTGCCAGCTGGTATTTCTGCTTGATGTGCACGAGGTTGATTAAACATGCTCAAAAGGGCGATATTCGATTCGTTCAGAGATTCTCTTGAACTTTGACTCAATTCCACTGGTGATACTCGATATTCATGTTCAGTTGGTAGACCAATATAGAATTCTAACAATATCAGATTTGAAATTTCTTCTTGAATAAATTGTCCCAACGATCTTTTCTTCGGATCAACACGTCTCACAAGTTCTCCTGCAAGCCAACCGTAAGTTAATGCATGATAACCATGTGCTGATCCTGGTGGCCATACTGGTGCTTTTTGCTCCAATTCTTTGATCATTGCTGTCCAATTTAGATATTGCTCTAGTGGTGATGAAATGTCTGGTAATCCAGCACGATGTGAGAGAATATCTGCCACCGTTGTATTTTCTTTACCATTTAGTCCATACTCTGGCCAATAGCGAGTGACTAATGCTGAATAATCAATGAGACCACGCTGAGCAGCTAGTGCAACTGCAGCAGCTACGAGTCCTTTTGTTGTTGAAAAGACTAACTGCAGTGTATTATCATCATAAGGCTTCGTTTTCGATTGATCAAACCAACCACCCGATAATTCAAAAGCCAGTTTACCTTGATAATAGACCGCTACTGATGCACCCAAATCTCGATCGTGTATGAAATTATCTTTGAACGGATCCAAGATAAAATCCCATCCGGGCGTGATAGTTCCACGAATATTATAGTCAGCAGCGTTGTAACAAAGGGCTGACGACACCAAAAATGACAATATCCACATAGAATACAGCATCACTTAACGACTCAAAGTAGAAATTTACGATACACTGAGATTTGAATGAAATACATGTGGATTAAATACAATCGAACTACGTAAATACCAAAATATAACAATAGTGTAACGAAAATGTCAATATTGAAATATATTGTGTGAATAGCATTCATCATATTTATGAAAATGTTAAGTAGTAAGAATTGAATTAGAGACAAGAGTTAAGGCGTAGAAAAACACATATATTCACATTTTCCTATAGATGCAGTTTGTCATGTGGTTTGTTTTTAATAAAATCATCTAAAAAAGCAAGCAAGCTGACGACTGCTGTTATTCAACATTTCGCTTAATACGATCCAATTAAATGACGCTCGCTTTTCTATTAGAAAAATTAAGTCAATATAATTATCTCATGCATACTCGACGAATTAATTTTTCTGAGTCATCCTTTAGCTTTTTTGGTAAACTGCCTCATGCTACCCAGAATATGAAAGAATGATTTTCTTCCTGTTTCGAACATATTGCTGTTGACGTAATACATCGACTTGGGAAAAATTTTTTATTTGAAAATACAAATTTAGTCTCCTCATGATCGGAATGAAGTTTTCTGTGAAACAATAGAGGAATCTGAATCTAAGTTAAAATTACTTCATTCCCAAAGCTCTGTTGATAGTGAAGCTTACAATAATCGATTTGAAATCAACAGTAATCTATGCTATCTTTTATCAACATCCATTGTTTAAAAGACGATTATTCCACTTTTTTCTTAACTATTTTAGCCATTCTTTTGTTCGTTATATGATTGGAAGTGGCATGTTTTACCTTTGATTAAACAGTGTCGCCGATACTATTTTCAATTTCTTCTATAAAAACTTTACAGCGAACGGTATTAGTGCCAAGAAAGCAATATATTTTTATATTAATACAATTAAGCTCAAAGTACTGCGTTTGCAACTGGTTGTTATTCACTAGTTTTCAAAGATAATACTGAGAAGGCAATAGTGATGCCATGACAATTAGGCTGTTTAGTGCGTTTCGATTCGAAAGAAAATCGGCATTATTAATTGTTCACATATAGGCTTTCTTGGAATCATTTATGAAGAGGTAGAATGTCTTCATAGCAAGAATGTCGAAAAATGAACACAAATAAAATGATAAAATCAAGAATAAAAACTTCGACTAAACTTGTTGTTTGATGACCGAAGGAAGACAATGTTGAGAATTTTGTCGTTGGTGAAGGTATCATGATCGGTAGAAATGACTTACCATTGCACAGGGAATGTCAACAGAGATAAACAATTTGTTTCCAGCATCCAAGCATTGTTCTAGAGCACGTGTTGCCTCCTGCTGAAGATTTCAAACTTGATAATAATATGCGCAGTATTTAAAAATACTCTATATCGCCAAGAAGAAATTTAATTTTCTAATGATAAAATGAAGTCATGAAGAGAAAAAATGACAAACCAAAATTTAAAAATTCATATCACACACTTCGATTTTATCAGCTTCACACTTAAATAAAATGTGCCACACTAATATGTCGCAGGTTCAACCACGAAAATGTGTTGCGATTAGAATGTGCCGTGTTCAATTTGCTGACTATTCATTCACTATTTTGTTTTGTACACACAGCTCCATATAGCCAACTCGACTAAATACTCGAAACTAATATATTTTTATATAAATTGTTTTTCTAGTTTATTTCTCGATTATTTATTGGCCAAGTGTGTGGGTACCAGAGACGACAGTGCCCATAACCACACCCCACTGCCACACCCACAGCAACCCTCGAAATGAAACAAGTGAAATTTTAGCTCAGTTTTTAAACTGTGCACATTTGAAAAGTTCAGCAATCGATTGTCGATATGGAGAACATATTCAAATGCTGATGCCGAGAAAGTTTTATAATCGATGTCGCTGATAACATGACATTTCCTCTTTCTTCAATTATAATAATCAATATCAGAGACCATTTAGGGACGAACTATCTGAATGAAATTTCAGTTTGACGACTATTATTTGACGGCATAACAGGAAACAAAAGAGAAATTCTTTAATTTTCAGTTTCTGCTGAGTCAACAACACTTCTAGAATACCAATAAAAAAAGGAATAGTCATAGATTAAGGAAAAGTTTTTTAATCTCTATCTGAAATAGTTTTACTTGATTTCATTCAAGTAAACATCCTGAATGTAAGATAATGGTGTGTAATTCATGGTACATACACGCCGAAAACATAATAATCTCAAAGAAAAATTGCTGTTGAACACTGTATGATTATAATTATGAAAAAAAGGGAAATTAAAAGATATTTTTTAAGCATTTAATAAATAAAAATATTTTCAGTGGGTGTGGGTGTGTTGGGTGGGTATGGGAGTTGGTCTACCGCACACCCACACCCCACACCAACACTCACTCACACCCACACCCCACACCCTTTGGTGGTAAATTATCAAAGGCAAGTTCGAGGAGTTCAGCTTTCGTCATGTTTTCAGAAAACAGAAGATCATGTCGATGTAGCCAGTCGATGATTAGTTGTTTTCTCCATGATCGCTTT